TAGATAGATAGATAGATAGATAGATAGATAGATAGATAGATAGATAGATAGATAGATAGATAGATAGAATAGATAACTTAGTCTTAATCAGACAATAGCTTGTGTTGCTCGTCAGATTACCTCTCGACTCATACGAAAGGTGGAGGCTCTTGTAAATCTCTTTTTGCATTCCATTTTTAGACTGAGCACGATCGTTTTACTTCTTGGAATGCTACAGAATGGAGGTATATGGCGGTGTGGAAAATAAGGACTTGCAGTTTATTGTATGCTTTTGGGATTCTGACCACAACGCCATAGGAGCAGGCTCCGACAGTTCGTTGATTAAGCAGAAAAGAGATGATCCGAAGAAGTTTGGTTCTCGCAATTTCGCCAAATTTATTACCTTTGTCAAGCCTTTGGCCTGTTATTTTTACCGGTTTTTTCCTCTTAAACATCCCTCCGACTCCTTCGACTATCCGTTACTAACAAGTCCCAACTAGGATGCATCGACTTAAACTAGTCTACTCCCGCCTATAAAGTAATACATGACTCGGGTATTTCATGTTTTCTCCTGTAAGAAACATTCGGCCGTCAATCACGATTCCACTATAGACCCTCGGATCGAGATAATCGTGTAGGCTATTATTGGTATCCTTTACTGACATAATTAAAATATAAGTTGATTAGCCCTTCGTGGACATGTGAACATGTTCTTCTGGCCCATTGTGTTCATTTGTCCGAGTAAGTCATTGTGTCCACCTGCCAGAGGTCTTTAGAGGCATTTAATTCCTTTGTATGTATGAATAGAATCTTGGTTTCGTATAATTTCTTGGTGAGCTATTATGATTCAACTTTCCATTTTATGGGAAATGTTTGTTGGAAAGAAGTAATTAATTGATCTCACCGGACACCGAATAATGAGGACTTCGTTGCTCAATCCGATGGTTTTCACGACGATCCTCCTTCAGTTTCCAGTGAGGCAAGTTCATCAATTCTTCAACCATTTTTTTATTCGCAAATGAACGTCATTTCACAATTTTGACCACTTCATTTGTACAGAGGGCAAAAGAAGACGCCTATGCTGACTGCCGATCGAAATATCGTTCGCTCAGGCTTAGGCTGCGGTATACTAGACATGAATCAGAGTATGGAATTTTTCACACCAACGACACTCCACTGGGAATTCTTGGACTAACTCTGATTAACTCTTGACCAAAGTTCCTGGTGGAATTGGATCTGAGAGCGGAAACGGCTGGCCAAACAAGGGTTCAAGTTAGGCAATCATATTTTACTTTAGCCACAATTAAAATGTTAATGTAATTTAAAATTTACTTGCAAATCAGCAATTTCTCGGCCATGAGCCACATGTGGCAACTGCCTTCTACATAATTCTGAAAATAGTTGATTTATGAATATCAGCTTTCTCGATATTGCCGAGTATGGAATTTTATTTTACTTTTTCTTAGACGGTCGAAAGCATGACAAGTATCAGGCACCTACCGGTCTGACCAAGAGGGGATACAGCTGCTCGTTTGTGTCGCCGAAGTGTGTTGAAGGTGGTGCGCATGCATTCAGGG